GTGGGCCAAGGGTGGGAGCCCAATCAGAGCTCCGCCCAGGCAGATAGGTAGGAGAGAGTGAGAGAGAGAGAGCAAGGCGAGGGGAGCAGAGAGAGAGTAAAACAACAAACACTTGTGGCCACACTGGGCTGGCCGGGGAGGCACAGGGACCATGACAGAAAGAGCCTTAAATATTACATATCTCCTCCGTTGTATAAGGTCCTTGGTGTCTGACAGCTATTAGAACGTGTTTATAAAAAGACAAATTGGACAAGAATTCAAGAAAAAAAGATGACCTATATCTTTAAAGCCAACAACTGGCATTTTTTCAAGAGATATTGCTTCAGCTGCATGATTCTGAGGACATATTCATATTGTCTTGTTCCAGCAAGAACAGTAGGTTATGATTACACCGTTAATTTAATTAACAGTGGCTTCCCTTAAAAACACAACCTGTAAATTATTTTTTTATTTTTTTTTGCCAGGGCATGTCAAGATAGGTAAAAGAAAAAGAAGGTCAGTTGGAGATACTCCACAGATGATTATCTGGCAGATCTAAAAGAATGATTCCACAGAACAATCGTTCAACTGTAAATGCAGTTAAGCGAGATCTCAAGGTGTTGGCCAATATCCATTTCTCTCTGCATTTCATGTGCATGATTTATTTCACTTTATATTTTGTATATAAAGGTTGGACGAGTCTTTACACTTTAAAGGCTCAACTTTAGGGTTTTTGTCTTCTTTCCTCAATAATAATAATAACAAAAAGAAGCACTCAAACAGCGCAAAGCTCCTGCCAAAGTACCTCAAACTTTAGTATTTACTTATAATAGGATAGAATTGTATTTTGTATGCATTTGTTTTGTTTTAATGGTTATTTTTAAATGCATTTTAAGATGGTTGTAGTGCAGTAAAAAACAGGTGATGGTAGCATGACAGATGTTTACTTTGATTACATCATTATGAAGGAGTAAAAACTGGACATGAATAACTTGAGGTTATTATATAGCACTATATTTTGATTGGTATATTTCTAACTTCTCACCAGCTCGTTCTCTTTCTCTTGACACTTTTGTTGTAGATACAAAGCATTTTGGGTCAACTTGAAAGAAAGGCAGATGTAAAAGTACAATCACAGATTAGATGTGGCATGGCATTTGGATGCAAACTATAATGTAATATTTAGAATCCCCATA